GGGGGGTCCCAGGATCCGGGGGGGTCACACTGGGGGGGGTCCCCTGATTTGGGGGGGTCACACTGGGGGGTGTCACCTGTTCTGGGGGGGTCCCCTGATTTGGGGGGGTCACACTGGGGGGGGTCCCCTGATTTGGGAGGGTCACACTGGGGGGTGTCCCCTGATCTGGGGGTGTCCCCTGGGGGGGTGTCACCTGATTTGGGGGTGTCCCCTGGGGGGGTGTCACCTGCCCAGGGGGGGTCACACCGGGGGGGTTCCCTTGATTTAGGGGGGTCACACCGGGTGGGGCCACCTGATTTGGGGGTGTCCCCTGGGGGGGCGGGGGTGTCACCTGATTTGGGGGTGTCCCCTGGGGGGGTGTCACCTGCCCAGGGGGGGTCACACCGGGGGGGTTCCCTTGATTTAGGGGGGTCACACCGGGTGGGGCCACCCGATTTGGGGGTGTCCCCTGGGGGGGCGTCACTTCCAGGGGTGTCCCCTCCTCGGGGGGTGTCCCCTGATCTGGGGGCGTCACTTCCAGGGGTGTCCCCTCATCGGGGGGTGTCCCCTCCTCTGGGGGTGTCCCCATTTCGGGGGGTGTCCCCGGGGGGGCTGTCCCCACCTCGGGGGGTGTCCCCTCCTCGGGGGGTGTCCCCGTCCCGGGGGGGCTCCCCGGGGGCGCGCGGCCCCCCGGCAGCCCCCGCAGCCCCCGCAGCAGCCGCAGCACCGCCCCCCGGCCCCGGTGCGGCCGCTTGGTGCCGCGGGGCAGGCGGCGGCACGAGGACACGTCCAGCAGCGACAGCTGGGGACACGCCAGCAGCGGGCTGGGGACACGGGCAGCAGGGGCCCCTGAGGGCCCCCTGACCCCCCAGTGCCACCCCAGTGTCACCCCAGTGTCCCCTGATCCCCCAGTGTCACCCAGGGTCACCCGAGTGTCCCCTGACCCCCCCTGTGCCCCCCAGGAATGTAGGGACAGCTGGGGACAGGCCAGCAGCAGGCTGGGGACACGGACACCAGGGTCACCCAGGGTCACCCGAGTGTCCCCTGACCCCCCCTGTGCCCCCCAGGAATGTAGGGACAGCTGGGGACAGGCCAGCAGCAGGCTGGGGACACGGACACCAGGGTCACCCAGGGTCACCCGAGTGTCCCCTGACCCCCCTAACTGTCACCTGCGTGTCACCCCAGTGTCCCCTGACCCCCCAGTGTCACCCAGGGTCACCCGAGTGTCCCCTGACCCCCCCTGTGCCCCCCAGGAATGTAGGGACAGCTGGGGACAGGCCAGCAGCAGGCTGGGGACACGGACACCAGGGTCACCCAGGGTCACCCCAGTGTCACCTGACCCCCCCAAGTGTCCCCTGACCCCCAGAGTGTCCCCAAACATCCCCTGACTGCAGGAGTGACCCCCAAATGTCCCCTGACCTCCACAGTGACCCCCCAGTGTTCCCCCCATGTCCCCACTGTGCCCTGCATGTCCCCAATGCCCCCAGTGTCCCCTCCATGTCCCCAATGCCCCCGTGTCCCACCTGAGCTCCTGGGGGGTCACGGGGGTCCCCAATGTCCCCAGTGTCCCCAGTGTCCCCAGTGTCCCCAGTGTCCCCAGTGTCCCCAGTGTCCCCAGTGTCCCCAGTGTCCCCAGTGTCCCCAGTGTCCCCAGTGTCCCCAGTGTCCCCAGTGTCCCCAGTGTCCCCAGTGTCCCCAGTGTCCCCAGTGTCCCCAGTGTCCCCAGTGTCCCCAGTGTCCCCAGTGTCCCCAGTGTCCCCAGTGTCCCCAGTGTCCCCAGTGTCCCCAGTGTCCCCAGTGTCCCCAGTGTCCCCAGTGTCCCCAGTGTCCCCAGTGTCCCCAGTGTCCCCAGTGTCCCCAGTGTCCCCAGTGTCCCCAGTGTCCCCAGTGTCCCCAGTGTCCCCAGTGTCCCCAGTGTCCCCAGTGTCCCCAGTGTCCCCAGTGTCCCCAGTGTCCCCAGTGTCCCCAGTGTCCCCAGTGTCCCCAGTGTCCCCAGTGTCCCCAGTGTCCCCAGTGTCCCCAGTGTCCCCAGTGTCCCCAGTGTCCCCAGTGTCCCCAGTGTCCCCAGTGTCCCCAGTGTCCCCAGTGTCCCCAGTGTCCCCAGTGTCCCCAGTGTCCCCAGTGTCCCCAGTGTCCCCAGTGTCCCCAGTGTCCCCAGTGTCCCCAGTGTCCCCAGTGTCCCCAGTGTCCCCAGTGTCCCCAGTGTCCCCAGTGTCCCCAGTGTCCCCAGTGTCCCCAGTGTCCCCAGTGTCCCCAGTGTCCCCAGTGTCCCCAGTGTCCCCAGTGTCCCCAGTGTCCCCAGTGTCCCCAGTGTCCCCAGTGTCCCCAGTGTCCCCAGTGTCCCCAGTGTCCCCAGTGTCCCCAGTGTCCCCAGTGTCCCCAGTGTCCCCAGTGTCCCCAGTGTCCCCAGTGTCCCCAGTGTCCCCAGTGTCCCCAGTGTCCCCAGTGTCCCCAGTGTCCCCAGTGTCCCCAGTGTCCCCAGTGTCCCCAGTGTCCCCAGTGTCCCCAGTGTCCCCAGTGTCCCCAGTGTCCCCAGTGTCCCCAGTGTCCCCAGTGTCCCCAGTGTCCCCAGTGTCCCCAGTGTCCCCAGTGTCCCCAGTGTCCCCAGTGTCCCCAGTGTCCCCAGTGTCCCCAGTGTCCCCAGTGTCCCCAGTGTCCCCAGTGTCCCCAGTGTCCCCAGTGTCCCCAGTGTCCCCAGTGTCCCCAGTGTCCCCAGTGTCCCCAGTGTCCCCAGTGTCCCCAGTGTCCCCAGTGTCCCCAGTGTCCCCAGTGTCCCCAGTGTCCCCAGTGTCCCCAGTGTCCCCAGTGTCCCCAGTGTCCCCAGTGTCCCCAGTGTCCCCAGTGTCCCCAGTGTCCCCAGTGTCCCCAGTGTCCCCAGTGTCCCCAGTGTCCCCAGTGTCCCCAGTGTCCCCAGTGTCCCCAGTGTCCCCAGTGTCCCCAGTGTCCCCAGTGTCCCCAGTGTCCCCAGTGTCCCCAGTGTCCCCAGTGTCCCCAGTGTCCCCAGTGTCCCCAGTGTCCCCAGTGTCCCCAGTGTCCCCAGTGTCCCCAGTGTCCCCAGTGTCCCCAGTGTCCCCAGTGTCCCCAGTGTCCCCAGTGTCCCCAGTGTCCCCAGTGTCCCCAGTGTCCCCAGTGTCCCCAGTGTCCCCAGTGTCCCCAGTGTCCCCAGTGTCCCCAGTGTCCCCAGTGTCCCCAGTGTCCCCAGTGTCCCCAGTGTCCCCAGTGTCCCCAGTGTCCCCAGTGTCCCCAGTGTCCCCAGTGTCCCCAGTGTCCCCAGTGTCCCCAGTGTCCCCAGTGTCCCCAGTGTCCCCAGTGTCCCCAGTGTCCCCAGTGTCCCCAGTGTCCCCAGTGTCCCCAGTGTCCCCAGTGTCCCCAGTGTCCCCAGTGTCCCCAGTGTCCCCAGTGTCCCCAGTGTCCCCAGTGTCCCCAGTGTCCCCAGTGTCCCCAGTGTCCCCAGTGTCCCCCCTGAGCTCCTGGGGGGTCACGGGGGTCCCCGCCAGCCGCAGGACCCTGAGGGGGTCGCGGGGCCCGAACTGGGCCAGCGCCGCCCCCAGGCCGGGCTCGCGGCGCCCGCTCAGGTCCAGCTCCAGCAGCGTGCGGTGCCACCGGCGTGTCACCTCCTGCCAGGGGACCGGGCTGGGGGACACCGGACAGCCCGGGGACACGGGCAGGGACAG